TGATCAAGTTGAGGTAACAAGCCTATTCTTATAAACTTTGCTCCAGATTAGACCAATGTAACTAATTCAGAACAAAATCAAAGTTAAGGGAAACTATATTATACCTGCAGATAATGAGTAATGGAATTTTCAAGAGCCCAGTGCATAGGGTGCTGACAAATTCAGAAAGGGACAGGATCACTGTGGCTATGTTCTGTGCTCCAGAATCTGGAAAGGAGGTTGAGCCAGTGGAGGAGCTCATTGATGACAAGAGGCCAAGATTATACAAGAAAGTGAAAAAATTATGTTGAAACTTATTTTCCAGTACTACCAGCAAGGGAAAAGACAATTGATGCACCGTGAAGGTTTAGATTTCTAGAACTATTTTTTCATCTCTTGTTATTTGTAAGTGTTATGTTGGGTTTGTGTTGACAAATCCAGGCCAAAACTTATATTGCCTCGTGTTCGAGATTAAAAAAATATGTGGCAAACTCTCATGGTAGTTTTCTTGGTGTAATTTTTTTTATCGCCTTTTTAAATCTTTTAAGTATTTAAGAAATTAATAAATTATGAATTTCTTTTCGTATTTTTTATTTGATCTATAATTATATTAAACATGTTATCTTTCTAATAATATTTAATTTCCTAACTTTATTTATTTTTTATTATACGGTCTAATTAATTGATCCAACAGACCCATTGACCCAATCCATCAACTATGGCTGAAGGAACCAATTTGCAGTGTGAAGCATAGAGGGACAACTTGCAGTGGAGGTATAGAGGGTCATAGTAGTCCAACGAGAGAGAGATAAATTTTTAATTTATAAAATCAATTATTTTTTGGATACCGTACAAAAAAAATCGTAGGAATCTGGCCTACGCGCCGCCTCTTTATTTTTTCGGTTTAACTTTATTAGACACAAACACAGTCCATTTTTTGCGTCCATCATATACTTATCGTCGGACTTAGGCAAAAATAATAAAAATGTATATGTATATAATATTACAGCTAAGAACTTAAAATTTTAATTTATAAAAACATAATAATGATCAAGATTTTAATTCAATATTATATCCAGTTCAAAAAAAAATTAATATTATAAAATTTATCCCAAGATTTTTTTTTCTCACCAAAAAATATCATATTATTTGCATAAATCTCAATATCTTAATCATTGATTAACTTTTATGACAGACATTAGAGTTTTTGCTAAACACCTTGATATTAGCTTCTTATACAAGCCAAGAGTTCTAAATAGGACTCACTGGGTGGCAACATCGGTTTTATCTGATTCAATTGCTGTGAATTGGGTCAGCTGTCCCCGGCTTGAGTTTATGACTTTGCTCTCGTCTGATTGTAACCAAAATTTTCTTATTTGAATAAATTTTTCCGTCTGTTGCAGCTCAAAAAAAAAAAAATCATTGATTAACAAACTCTTTAATGTCAATCAATTTTATAAATGATTCGTTTAGTAGAAATGATAGAAAGTAGAAGTGATACATTTTTTCTTTCATTTGTTTTTGGTTGGATGGATGGAAAATAAAAAATAATTTTTTTTTGTGTTTAGTGGAAAAATATATATATTTATTTATTTTTTTATTTTAATTTTTTAAAAAACATATAAATATATATTTTATCATTGTAGTTATATATATATATATATATAAGGATATACTTTTTATCATTGAAGGAAGGAAAGTAAAAGTAATACACTTTCTTTTCTTTGTATTTGGTTGGATGGATGAAAAATAAAAATAACTAATTTTTTTTTTTTTGGAATAGCTAAGATTTGGGGTGACAATTCAGTTGTGTCGTGTCAGATTCATGTTGAGTTATTACGAGTTTGTGTCGAACATTAATTAAATCTAACTCAACTCATTTAATTAATTATGTCATGCCGAGTTACGAGTTGATTTGTTTGTTTTCGTATCGTATTCATATTTGTATTCGTGTAGATTTATTTTTAATTAAAAAATAAATTCGGATTTTTAATTAATGGAAAAAAATATATTTTTTTAATTTAAAATTTTTGTTTTTATTTTTATTTTTAATTTTTTTTAAAAAATATATAAATACATATTTTATCATTTTTTTATATGAAATTAATGTATACATAATCTAAGTATATATCAAAAGATATATAAGCAAATAAGATACATCTCAACACAAATAATTAAATTTTTATCAACTTTATTTCCGATTTTGGAGGGATTGATTTTGACTAGTTGGAAAAAAAATTAATCCATCCACTTTTTCATCCTTCATATTTTTCTTCCTTACCAAAATATGATGTTTTATTTATCCTTTTAACTTTTCATCATTTAAACTTTCTATTCTTTTATTTTTTTTATCATATCAAACGGAGCATTAAATTTTTTTTATTTGGAGCTAAATATTGACACTATTTATTGGCTCAATATCACGATTATCAAATAAATAATCAGTTCAATAAATATTGAGATATACAATTAAGATTAATGTTATTGAGATTTAAAAATTTAACTTAATTTGTTGATCTAATTAACTATAATTTTTGAATTGATTATAGACTTCATCAAATATTAAAATTTAATATTAATCTAATAATTTATATTAAACCACGTCATTATCTCGTTAAGAAATTAGATCTAGATTCAAATATCATTACTCTACGATTAAATCAACGACAAATGTTATCAAGTAGCATTGCTCTTGCCCATATGTTCATCGTCGGCCAGCCTCAAACCTTTGACTTGACATTGTTAATCACCGGTCCACCAACCTTCACATCACTAGCCATCACCGGCGACGACATGGCAGGAACTTCCCCACGTACCAAAGCAGAACTAGGGTGCACATCAGTCCAAGAACTGGTCATCACCGGCGATGACCACCGGAACGGTACATCTATAAAGACAGCGACTATGGAGTCATGGATGCCTCCCTTCCACTGATGAATATGCCGATTATTGATATCGGGCGTCTCAAATCTTCATCGCCCACCGGAGAAGAAGAACTTGAAAATCTGCGATCAGCTCTCAGCTCATGGGGTTGCTTCCAGGTCTGGTTTTTCAGCTTCTCTCCATTAACTTGCTTTACAGACACCGTGGAACCCAAGATTCGTACATAGTTTGATTGGTAAAAAAAAAAATGTGTCTTTTGCCTGTAAATGATCATTTGAGCAACCAAATTGTAGAAGCCTAGTTGACTAGTTCTGAAGCTAAGTAGGGTAGATCAAGGAAAAACTTGTTTACAGAAATAGATAGCCAAAGCTTATAGAAAGCTACCAACTCACTAGTTCTTGTATAAGTAATAGGAAAATAAACTGCAACCCAACTGTTTGAGATAGGTCTGTGTGGGAAGCTCTTGAGTTAAAACTAAAAGGTAATTCCATGTGCAAACAAACATGAGTTTTACAGATATTTGGATAGAGAAAATATGGGACTTGAGGAATTTTTTACCTTGCTTATGAAATTATTAATATTGTTCATCCAAATGGTTTTTTTTTTTTTTTTTAAATTTTCAACCTTGCATAGTATGGTTAGTCACCTTTGGTTTTGCTCAAGAGAACCAAAAGGTCAATGGTCAATCCTTGTTAAAAGTAGGGGTTATATAGTGCTATTGTTAGAGCTTCTTGTCGATCCCCATTCCTATAGATGCTGCACGGGCATGGTCCTGCAATAGATTGAGATAGCCTTGGCACCGTGAGCGTGAAATAATTCCTTATTCCTTAAACATAAAAAGAGTCCAAAAAAGGGCCGGATGAACACCCAACTTATACCCTCCAAGACTTAAGTCAGTCAGTCAGAAATGAAAAGAGTTAAAAAGGGGCCGATGAACATCCGTGCAGATGCATTATTCAATAGTTATAATTGTTGATTATTCGTTGATTACTATAGAGAAAAAAAAAAGATGGATTTCTCATATCAATTGATTGGTGCTTCTTTTGGTCCTCGAGCTCTGAGAATTAGTTTTTGAGTTTCAGGCAATAAATCACGGAATAGAAAGTTCTTTCCTTGACAAAGTGCGAGATGTTACCAAACAATTGCTTGAACTTCCAATGGAAGAGAAGCAAAGATACTCCAGAGCACCTGATGACATTGAAGGGTATGGGAATGACATGGTTCTTTCAGATAATCAAACTCTCGATTGGACCGATCGGTTGTTTCTTACAGTAAATCCTGAAGATCAGAGAAAGCTCAACTATTGGCCTCAAAATCCTGAAGTTTTTAGGTAATTTTTTCATTCCAACTGTGACAGAGAACTCATAATCTAGATATCAACAATGCTGCCTAGTAGTTTATTAGCTTTTTTGGAAAAAAATGCCACAGATATCTGGTTCCCCGTTAATTTTGAAAGTGACATAACTGGTTTAGTGTTGACATGACATTTTTAGGGTGAAAAATGAGGCAGGGTTGAAAAAACATGCAATAAAAGAAATGCTTTGGTTCTTCAAACTATATTGAGATCACCATGAACTCAATTGATTTGAATTGGTGATCAGAAACTGTATGAGGTTAACTTATACATAATGTGCATACCTCTGCAGAGAAACTATGCATGAACATGCCACCAATTTACGACTGATAGCAGAGGACCTCCTCAAGGCCATGGCAAGGTCACTAAACTTGGAGGAGAACTGTTTCTTGAATCAATACGGAGATGCAGCAATTATGCAGCTAAGATTCAACTTCTACCCTCGGTGTCCGAGGCCTGACCTTGTTCTCGGCCTAAAACCTCATGCAGATGGATCAGCAATTACAATTGTCTTGCAAGACACAGAAGTTGAAGGGCTTCAATTCCTGAAAGATGACCAGTGGGGGAGGGTTCCTATAATGCCTCATGCACTTCTCATAAATGTTGGCGATCAAATAGAGGTAACAAGCATTAGCTCATAATACATTTTGCTTCAGATTAGAAGAAAACTGTGGCCATTCACCACATAGTTAAGCAACTAATTCAGAACAAAGTTAAAAAGTTTTTGCTGTTAAAATCACTTTGTTTGTCCACTGTTTGAAAGTCAATCAGTCATTAGTAGTAGGGATGGAAATTCAATCAGGTTGTGTTGTGTTTGAATTGTGTCAATTGGGTTCGTGTCAAGTAATAGTTGCTGTCGTGCCTGGGGATCGACACTCATAACCTGTGAAAACACAGTACCAGAATCGCATTTTCTCTCAACAAAATCACCATAGGTCCCCCATAAACTATCTAGATGGTAACAAGACCAGTAAAAAAATCTTCTAGTTCTACAAGTATTTGAAAAAGACAATATTAAGAAAAGGAAATAATAAAAAATGAGATATTTTCTTCATATAATACCAATTTAGGGATTTCATTTAGAACATAGATTATTTTGTTCAACTCTAATTCAACTTGAATATTATTTTCTCGAGTTCGTGCCAATAGTTAGTTAATCCTAATCTGCTAATTTCGTTCTTTATCACCGTGTAAATTGTGGGTTGCAAGATTATAGTACGGATGAACAACTCAGATTAGATTCTTTGATTGGCTATATGATACCTGCAGATAATGAGTAATGGAATTTTCAAGAGCCCAGTGCACAGGGTTGTGACCAACTCAAAGAGGGAGAGAATCAGCCTGGCTATGTTCTGTAGTCCAGAATCAGGAAAGGAGGTTGAACCAGTGGAGGGGCTCATTGATGACAAGAGGCCAAGATTATACAAGAAAGTAAAAAACTATCTTGACACTTATTTCCAGTACTACCAGCAGGGCAAAAGACCAATTGATGCAGTGAAAGTATAGGTGCATGTTTGGTTAGTTTCTGTAAAACAGTTTTTTGTTCTCAAAATTTTAAAAACACCCAAAATCTGTTTATTTAACATTTTTGTTCTCTAAATTTTGGGAGAAAATGAGATTTGAGTCAAAGAAACAGAAAACAAGTGTAACTTATTTTCAAATTTTTCTTTGAAAATTTTGAAAACAAGGAAAACAATTTTGAATGTTCAGATATGGGGTATATATATATAATGAAATTGTCAATATAAAAATAGTTTTTTTATATTTTTTATTAATGTTTGAATTACTGTTCAAATATATATTTAGGCTGTCTAAACAGGTTTTACTATTTTCTGTATTATAAAATTATTTTTGAAATCATCTAACCAAACAAGTTTTTTATCTCAAAAATATGAAACTATTTTCTTAAAACTCTTCTCAAAAACTGTTTTCGGATACTACTTTTTGAAAACGCAAACCAAACAGGCCCTAGATTTTTAGAAATATTTTCATCTCTTGCTATTTGTTGGTGTTATGTCGGGTTTGTGTTACCAAATTTCGTAACCAAAACATATATCGAGTTGTAAAATGTTCTTGAGATGTAAAATAGGTGTGCCACTTCACCTACCAATTTTTTTTTCCATGAGAGGAATCCTTCTAACTACACACTTTTTGGACTCATGGTTGCCACTTTCTCTAGCAATTACGCACAATAATTTTTTGACATTTTATCGAAATTCGTCATTTGATAGAACAGATTCAGTATTGATTCAAAAAACTCGACTTGAGCCAAATCTTGAGCTATAATAATGAAAATTGTCATCCAACATCATTTTGGTTCAGTATTTTTGGAATGGTAGTCAAACCCAAAGTTATTAATCAATGTCCCACATACTGAACTTCAATAATAATTTTAGGGAGAGAGAGAGAGAGAGAGAGAGAGAGAGCTCCTTTGACTTGAAAATGCACACTAATCCACTTATGCTTCTATCATGTGCCTATCCTTTGGTAAAACCCAAAATTCATTAGATTCAAACACCTCAATCTACGTTTCATTTCTCTCTCCTAAACCCAAATTTTAACAGCTTTCTTTTGGCATAGACATGGCTGCAACTACCCTTCCTTCCATGGTAGAAGTAGAATCACCATCCAAGCCTGTCCAAGAACTAGCCAAAAACAGCAGAAATGAATTTCCAGAAAGATATATCTACAAAGGGGGAAATATCGATCTCTCTCTTCCTGTGTTGGATGTTCCAGTTGTCGACCTTAGCCTCCTCTCATCTTCATCACCCGCCGGAGAAGAACAACTCATAAAACTCAACTCAGCCCTCAACTTTTGCGGTTGCTTTCAGGTATATCAATTTGCATACTGGGTTATATATATGCCATTTCTATCTATTCACTAACAGATTTTTAGATCATTTAAACTTCTATTGTTCGATCTTGTAGATGACTATACTGATTCTAAGAGAGTTTTATTGATAAATTAATTACTATGGGATAGATTATAAAGTTTTAATTTTTAAAAATTTACTAAGAAATTAAGCTCAATTTCTACTTGGGTTCGATTGGAATGGTCGTGAGCTTCTACTGAGCAAAGCTTGAGCAAGAATCTAAACTCGACAATTGAGCTCTGGTCAACCTGGAGCTTGGCGAGTGAAAACTTAAGACCCTAGATTCTAAATGCAAATTCTGAATCTAGTCCCTCAGATAAGACCAGGACAGTGTTCTTACATGATTTGTACAATTTCAGGCTATAAATCATGGAATGACAAGCTCATTCCTAGACCAAGTCCATAATGTGGGCAAACAATTCTTTGCACTTCCAATAGAAGAGAAGCAGAAATACTCGAGAACAGTTGATGACATTGAAGGGTATGGGAATGATTCAGTTCTTTCAGAGAACCAGACTCTTGATTGGACAGACCGGTTGTACCTTATAGTAAATCCAGAGGATCAGAGGAAGCTCAAGTTTTGGCCCAAAAATCCTGAAAGTTTTAGGTAAATTCAAAATGTTGCCTCAAAACTGGTTATAAGCATACAATTTTGTTATGTGTGGAACATGATTGTTTCGGAGTCAGTAGGTAGCATCAGGTTTGAGGGTGGCCCCTCGGGGTAGAAAGAGATCTTTTCTTTTTTTGGGTATTTTTCCATGGTGTTTTCTTATCAATAATTGTCGTAGTACTTTATGTACATATATATTATGTCAGCTACCAAAAACAATGTCAACTTGAATCTGTCGTTCTGTCAAACTATATTGAATTCAACATTGGCGTGCGCCAGATATGTAGCTCGTGAACCCCATAACTCTGTCTGTTCTCTGTGTGCTATGTATGCTATCGATGTGTGTGACTGTAAATGTAGATGTTTGTATTTTTTTCTCAAGAGTGAGTTGGCAGAACAAGGAAGAAAATCAGATAGATACTTTCTTACATTCGATGAATTTTCTCATAAACCAGCTTTTGTCCTGTAAAAAATCACAGATTCTTCTGCTAACTTTCATACTTTCCAAACACAGTATTCTTGTACTTAAAAAAGCAAAAAAGAAAAAAAATATGTCCAGAAAACGTTACCCAACAGTATTTAAGATTTTCTTGCAACTTCCATGCATTCCAAAGTGTAAGCAAAATTTTCATACAGTTCTAAACTTCAGTTTCTATTGTTATTTTCTTTCTAATCCAACCGTCACTAAGGTAACTTTGTTGTCTCTAACCTTGCAGGGAAACTTTACATGAATATACAGTGAGACTAGGATTGTTGAATGAATTCATCCTCAAGGCCATGGCAAGGTCATTGAGTTTGGAGGAGAACAGCTTTCTGAACCAGTACGGCGACGGCGACCGAGCAACGATGATGGCAAGGTATAACCTGTATCCTCCATGTCCAAGGCCTGATCTCATTCTTGGTGTCAAACCACATGCAGATGGAACAGCCATTACCTTTCTTTTGCAAGACAAAGAAGTAGAAGGCCTCCAAGTCCTGAAAGATGATCAGTGGTTTAGAGTTCCCATTGTTCCCAATGCTCTTCTCGTTAATGTTGGAGATCAAGCAGAGGTAATTTAGACTGCCTTGGATAACATCACGTGCCTCTACTCCAAAATTAAAATGAAGTAAAATTTCAATTGTAATCAGAGTTTTAAAAAACAAAAAATAAATCAGAGTTAAATCCGCCAGCTAGTTCGAATATGAGATCTCAAGGGTTGACACCTCGAGATACCAAGTTTGAGTCATACCTATCCTAGTCCCCTTGCCGATATATGTGGATCAGCAAGATGGCTGTGTGCATCCAGAGTCTAAATTGTTGCAACACATCCAAAGCGTGTTTGTTTAGGATATGGTTTTCCTTTAACAAAAAAAGTAATTTATAGTTAAAACTTGTAGCTTTTGCTTGATGGTGATTGCAGATAATGAGTAATGGAATGTTCAAGAGCCCACTGCACAGGGTTGTGACCAACTCAGAAAGAGAGAGAATGACTTTGGCTGTGTTTTGTACTCCAGGGTCAGATAAAGAGGTCCAACCAGTGGAGGAGCTCATCGGTGAAAATAGGCCAAGGTTGTACAAGAAGGTGAAAAATTATGTTGATATTTTTTTTCAAAATTATCAGCAAGGAAAGAGACCCATTGAAGCTGCAAAGATATAATCTTGAGAAGAGTCATCCTTGGCAGTTTGTAATCGGCGATGATAGAGATAAATGTGTGGGCATACCAACTTAAATTTGGAGTTATTGTTCTTTTTTTCTTTTTCAAAATGCTCGAACAAAAATAAATTCTCAAAGCAGAAGGCAATTCATGTGGAACTTTTTTTGGCCTAGTAGAACTGTTGGAAGAAGCTGCTGTTTGTAGAAGATGACTTTGTAACAAGTTTTTAGCCAGCAGTGTGATCTTTGTTTACATAAACTGTAAAGTTGGAGTGGTCATAGGTTGGTTCGGGTCTCGAGCAGGGCCAGCTGCCAAAAACTACAATAACTTTTAAATTCTTCAATTTTCAATACCTTTTATGTAGTTTTTATTTTTATATCTATATTCTATCTATATTATATATGGAAAGCAAACAAATTAGGTGGAAGGTGGTTTGAAAATCTTCCTTCTTGATTTTCTTTTCTTTTCTTATCTTTTTTAAAATTTTAATTATTTAATTATTGTGAATGATTTTAACCAATTATAGTCTAATATGTATCTCACGTAACTTCCTCTCTATTCCACTAATTAATTATCACTCATTTACCTAGCAAAAAAACTACTCATTTGAATTTTTTTATAAAATCAGTCACTAATTTAAATTTTTTTAAAATATAGTTTTACCACTAACTTTTTATAACTGTTTTATAACCTTATTTTTTCTTAATTTTCTATCTAATTTTTTAAATTGTATGATGACAATAGGAAACAAAAAAAAAAAAAGGGAAGGACAAGGAGGAAAGAGAATGTGTGCAAATTTCTTGCATCGCATGAGGCTATAGTTTGTGTGTGTGTGTGTGTGTATATATGTGTAACAAATAAGTTAGATGGGAGAAGGCTTGTGGAGTCTTTCATCTCTATTTCATAAATGACACTAAGGCTCCCTCCAATGATCCAATCACATTATACCATGTGTCTTTTGTAACCACTTCTCAACTCTCTACTAACTAATCATCATTTTTTAAAATTTATTCAAACATAATTACTTTACTACCTAATAACATTTAACAATTTTTAATCTAACTTCTTAAGTTATAAGATGAAAAAGAAAAGAAATTGGTGAAAAAAATAAAATAAAATAACGAAGTATATATTACGTTCATTGCATGAGGCGGAACCGCTAGTTTGAAAATAATATAAACAATTATAATTATATATATATATATATATAAGCCCGTTAAAATAAAAGTAATTTATCTAAGTGAAAATAAGTACGTACAAATAATACCCATTTTACTCCCCCATTAATGTAGTCTTGTCGTATTAGGTCCAAACCTTACTTACACAAAGGGTCAAAGGTTTGAACTTATGTTTGATATCATAAGTTGGGAAGAATTAAATTGGTTAATGAGTAAAATAATCATTTACATGAGCAATGTATGATGATAATGATAATAAATTCATACATTTCACAGATATATATTTTAGTTACTAAACATAGGTATGGATTGGATTCATCTTTGAATCTCATGTACTCAAAGATGGGGGTAGAAGTTGAATTTGAAAGGGTTTGGTAAAACCAATCTAATCTCTTACCAAAAATCCATCCAAACATGTTAATGCAGAAGGAGGCCATAAATATGTCAGTATTTTAAGACAAAAAAGAAAATGGAAGCCAAATCTTCAGCTATGATAATGAAAATTGTCATCCAACATCCATTTTGGTTCAAGGAAGAGTAAGTCTACACAAATAAAACCTTTAAATATAAAAATGATCACTCACTAGTCTCCTTTCATTGACAAACAAAGGCCAAATCTTATAACAATATCACAATTTATATACTTTCTGTCGGGTTGTGCCTCCTACCTTCACCAGTTCAACTGTGAACTTCATCCTGGAGCATTAATGCCTTTAGGAAAAATTGTCAAGTCTAATTAATGCCTCTTGTGTAAATTGTAACACAAAAAAATTGTCATGTCTAAGCTGCCACCACCACCAAACTCCTCTATTTCTGGAGCATCTCTTCCAACATCACCTGAGTTGTGTGACTGTAACTCATCACTTCTAACCTTCCCCAACAAAAATCATGACCAAAAAAGCATACCCCAATAACAACCAATAAGCAAGACTTATAAGCCGCGTAGAGAAAGCAAAAGATTTGGGTCTTTTTTCAAGTCCATGTCGAAACCACTGCTGGATGTGATTCTAGGAGCCGAACCAGAATAAATACCACACAGAAAAGTCAAGAACAACCTCATTAATCCTCCGTTTGGTAGAAAAAATGAAAAGTAATAAGAATACATTTTTATTCTTTAAGAATGAAAAATATAAATAATACACTTTCCTTCCTTTGTGTTTGGTTGGATGGATGAAAAATAAAAATGACCAATTTTTTTTAAAATTTGTTTTGTCTAATATTTAGGGTGACAATCGAATCATGTCGTGTTAAATTCGAGTTGAGTCATAAAATTATAAGCCTTTTATATTTCTTGTTTGCATGTTAGGTCATTTTCAAGTTCGTGTCGAATTATAATCATGTTCGTATCATAAAATTCGTGCCGAGTTCATGTCGTGTCATTGTGTTGAGTCAAAAATTTTTACCCCTAATTAAAATGAAAAAAATATTTTTTTTTAATTTAAATTTTTTATTTTTTATTTAAAATTTTTTTAAAAATATATAAATACATATTTTATCATTATATTTTTATATGAAATTAATGTATACATAATATATCTATATAATAAAACAGTTATCACTTTGAATTTAATCCCCATTATATTTCCCCCCTCAAAACCATCCCATCCAACCCAACCCAACTGCAACCCACCGAGCAACGGCTACCTGCAACACACAGAGCCAAAACCATCCCTTCTCTCTCGGTCTCTTCACTCACTTTCCAATTTCATGCTGACAAGCGGCGAGGGTCTCTTAACTGCGCAAACATCATCCCCTCACCACCTCCTCTCTCTCTCTCACGAGCCCCAATAACACCCAGCCCCAATAGCGCTCCAGGTATCTCTTTCTCCCCTTCTATCTTCTCACACCCAAAGCCCATCCTCTGTCTCGCTATCCCCAGGTTCACAGAGCCCAGCCTTCCTCTCCCTATCTCTCTCTCTCTCGCTCACCTGTAACCTGTTCGACAAAATTCTCCAAAAGAGCTTGAGTAAGGTTCTCTGGTGTATCATATTTCTCTTTGCATGACATTTGGATTGTTTATGCGTTTAGCATTTGCTCCCCATAAGATCTTCGTAGCATTGCGTTTATGCATTTTTCCTGGCTTTTAATCACCATCTTTCATTTCAAGACCACCACTCAACCACACTACAGAACCACATGAGCATGTATCACCTGTACCCTAAACCACATCGGTTCCTATACCGTGAATTAGAGTGTTATACCGTGCTTCCCCAGCGGTCTTTCAGGTCAACTTCAACCCCTCTTTCGAGCAAGAAATGAACCACATGGTCCACATCAGTAAACCCCTGACAAATCAACCAAAAATTAGAGGTTGTAGTTTTGGTTTTCATTTTCTGCATTGATACAAAATCAAAAAAAAAAATTCATCTGGAGATTTTAGTTTTGGTTTTTATTTACCCATACTTTCTCTCAAAATTGGAGATATCATCTTTCAAATAGAAACCATCTTCTCTTACTGACCAGTAGTAATTCACCGTATGAGCATTCTTTTTTCCACTACTTTAAGATTTTTTTAATATGTCTTACTTGAAGCTGTTTGAAACCCACGGGTGCTAATCTATATCAGAAGCTTTTATTCTCTAAAGTACTTTCAGACAAGGAAAAAATATCATTAGTGAACTATGTAGCTAATCTGTAACACTAAGCTTATTTCTTATTTATTGAGATTTTTTGAATATGTCTTGCTTGGAGCTGTTTGAAACCATGGATGCTGATCTATATTAGAAGCTTTTATTCTTTGTAGCTAATCTGTAACAATAAGTTTTTATCACACAGTTTTTACATGCATTTTGCTCTTGGTTTGTATTTGAGTAATTTTACATCTTATTTCTCATAGAAAATTTTCATTGCCGAAGTAGCAAAGGCTGCTGCATAAGGCATATCTTATGGAGAGTTGTACTCATGGTTGTACACTGCTTTGGCTGCAACTCAAGCTCACACACACTGAGCAGCATAATGTGAATTCCATTCTCTTGGAAAGGATGCTATTCTCTTGGAAAGCACACACAGAGTAGCTATTGTTCATAGTTATTTTTTTTTTTCTATGTATTTTTTTTGGTTGATACATGTAGTTTATATGTGGTATTGATTTTTCAATTTTTAGTTTGTCGTTACCAGTTGTTCTGTGGTGGTGGTGTTTATAGTTATATTTGTGCTCTTATTAAGCAAATTCTTTGTATATTCATGAGGCTTATGCATTCACAATTTTTTTGCATATTCATGAGGCTTGGCTATTTATGAACTGATTCAAACAATTTATTTTGCATTGTTGGAGGTTAATGAGACATGGGTAGGCTTGGGTTACTATAGAAAGGCGTGAGTTCTACAAGAGCATAGAGGTCAACTCTCTTTTCAATCTTTTCCAGTTGCTTGCTTCATGTGGTATACATAGATAGGTTAAAGACATGTGTTTTTTAGATGATTATATAAAGGTTTGGGTTTTGAGGTGAGTTTCTTTTGAAAACTAAAATTGGCACAACCAGTTCCTTTCCTTTTTAAAGTTCCTTTCTTTTTATGCTTTAATAAGTTTAATTAGTTTTTTTTACCTTCTTGGCAAACCTTTTTAATTTTAATGTTATTTTTATATGGATTTTGCTAGGATTTTGTGTTATGTTTTTTAATTTGATTGTATGTTTCATATTCTAATACACTCAATGTTATGTTTTGCGGCTGTTAGGTCTTCTTTGGAACCAATATGCAGGATGATAAGAAGATGCTCCCACATTGCAATTAAGGATTTGAGATGGTCATCCCTACTTAGAAGAAAAGATTAGAACCAGAACTCCACTTTGGTTGATTATATTAAATTTTTTATTTAATCTAGCGACACTATAACAATCCTTAGGAAGTCTTTGATGATATGTGATATTTTAAGCTTCATCTGATCTGAGCACTAAATATTTGGAAATAATAGAATATGGTTTGGTGTGGATCCAAACCCCCACCCCCACCCCAAAAAAAAAAAAATCCACAATGAGGATTTGACCTCATTTTTCATTTGCATAAGAAAAATGAAAACCAACTGAGTTTTTCATGGCCTCATTTTTCATGCGCATAAACCAAATGAGTTTTATTTCACTTCTTTATGGGTGTATAGAGTTTTGATAAGATTTATTTTGTTACCAGTCATGAGAAGATCAGAGATCGATCGTCATCCCCAAAGGTAACAATTTTTTTTTCTTATTTTTTTGGAAAAAATTTACATTCTTGGTTTGTAGTTTTTGGGTTTTTTTTCTTTTTAATTTCCATGACGAATTTTTTGTTTTGTTTATTGATGATACCACCGATCACGGGAAGTCGATTGTCATCCCCCAAGATAACAATTTTTTCTTTGATTTTTCTTATTTTTTGGAGGAAATTTACATTCTTGGTTTGTAGTTTTTGGGTTTTTTGTTTTATTTCCATGACGAATTTTGCATTTGTATGTTTATCAAACTGAGTTGTGCTTCTCTGAAAAAAATTTACATTCTTGGTTTGTATTTTTAAGTTTTTTTTTTATTTCATGACGAATTTTGCATTTGTATGTTCATCAAACTGAGTTGTGTTTCTTTGTATGTCTTTTTCATTTCTTCGTATGGTTGAAACTGAATAATAGATCTTCAGTGCTTTGGTACATATCTGTTCAATGCTATTCGGAAGTAGATTGAGTGTTCTACCAGGCACACACTCGAATTGATTGATTGTTGTTCTATTGGTACCATTGAGGTTACCTACCTCTTTGCTCACGAGTTGTGCTTATTCAATTTGTTGTCTTATTGTCATTCCTTTGCCTTATTTGTGTGAAATTTAGAATTTAGAACTTATGTTAGTTGGTGTTGTCATAGACCTAGAACGGGTTCTATGAAACTACCTTACTACTCAGCTTGTGCTTCTTTATTTTGTTGTGTTTGATTTTTTATGTTGACCATTTGATTTCATGCTTAAATGATGATTTATAGGGTACTAATATACCTATTTGTTGTCTCTTCTGTGAACACTATAACATGTAAAGTAGGAGCTTTTATCCTGTTTGAGCAAATAAATCAATTTTTGCCATTAAAAGCAAGTGAAAGCCTCTCAAAATATTGTGTTACACTTGGACTCAAATTTTTTGCCAAGTGAAATCCGTACTTCATGTTTTACGTGCAAGTTTAGCTCAAGGGTTGTTTGATTAAAAAAATTCAATAGTTTTAAGCATGAAATACCAACTTGCATTGTATTCTCTTGGACTGATTCATGTGTGAAAAAGGTTATATTATTTGATTGTTTGTGATTTTCTTTGACTCAAAATTTGATCGTTTGATTTAATAAAATTGATCGTTAATTATTTATCATTTAATTTCACAATCTTTGTAAAGGACTTATATGTTGAATAAATCTTAGACTTTTCAGGTACTTTTGAGTCAAACCTTAAATTTTGTGCATTTGCCACAAGCACAAGATAAATTGAACAAATCATCTTGATTTGTTTCAGTTTTACTTAGATTTTGGACTTTTGTTATAACAATTTTTATATGAGAACTGATATAGATGTCAATTAAATGTGTGCGTTTGTAATTGTGGGTTGAATTTGATATATATGAATTTATATGGATAAAATTAAACTTTTTTCTATTATTGATTTTATTATGTTGTTGTGGTAGTTGACAAATGATTTTGTTATGGTAGAATTGGGGTGTGATATTGAATTCGAAAAATGAATTAGGTCATGTTTTCTTTAAATTCATGTGTATCTTATTAATAAGTAGATTTGCACTAATTATTAGTCATCCGTCAGTTCAGTGCTTGATTATTTTTGCGTTCAAATTCAATATTCATTTTTTTTAGTTGCACCGTACCTTCAGGCACAGGTTATCCCTAGTAGATTTATATAGATAAAATTGAACTTTTTTCTATTGTTAATTTTATTTTGTTGTTGTGGTAATTGACAAATGATTTTTTATGATAGAATTGACAAATAAGATACATCTTAACACAAATAATTAACTTTTATTCACTTTCCTTCCGATTTTAGAGGAATTAATTTTAGTGAATTAGAAGAAAAGTTAATTCATCCACTTTTACATCTTTTTATTTTCCTTCCTTATCAAACATGATATTTTATTTATCCCTTCAACCTTCCAACTTTTCATCCTTCTATTTTTCTATCATACCAAACGAAGCATAATGGAATGGTTAATCAATCCATTCCAAATCGATCGAAGTGGTATGAAAGTTTTAACATGAAAAAACACAGTAAACACGACTTATTTGAATAATCCGGTGACCTGAAGTAAGATTTTTGGCATGCAATAAGCACTTAAATAATACAATAACAGTGTACCATCTTCTTTCTCATTTCGAGGAAAAGGTGCGGAAGGAAAATAAAACAACGGAGGCATCCGAATCGGACCTAAATGGAAATGACATGAAAAGTCTTTTTCAAAACCTAACATTAAGGGCGTTACGATGATATACGAGAGAAATGAAGAAAAACTTGTGGGTGCCACTATTTAAATCGCCTTTCTAGCTATAATTTTTGAAACTCCGCCCATTTCATAAAGCATTCGACCTAGTTTAACTACTGATACCCAATCTTCGGGAGATCCTTTCCCTGAATCCCAACACCAGAACTACCACAACCTACACACTGATCACCAAATCAAAACCATTAAATCAAATCCTCAAAAGATGTGGCAACAAACTATTTATTCAAACCATCAACTAAATCAAGTATGGAACAAAAAAAAGTTACACAATAATAGATTGGCTCATTAAATCCACCAAATGAAATAAATCCCGCAAATCTGAGAAAAAAATAATGAACAATCACTTGAACCTAATGTGTTAAGGCATAGGGTCATCTCCACTGTAATTTTTTTGTAAACGAACTACAATGCAAAAAAAACAGATCGCTTACTGTCCATAAAACAGAATGTGCTTCTGCCAAGCCTTCTGGCGCAACGGTATGTGCAGTAAGTCATAATCGAAGCTCTTTGAAGCATGAAAGAATATATGCATGTTTGGGGAAATAGAAGAATTGAAGTGTGAAAGAGAGAAAGCTTATACTTGTCCTTTTGTTCCGTCAAAGCTTATACAAAAGTGTAGTTACAATAGCAAAACCCAGACCCACGAAAACACAGAGGGGAAGGTTTAGACTTTTTTAAAAAATCGTTCAAGACTACTTGCCTGTTGATGACTGTATACCAGAACTACATGGAATAAAATCTTAAAAATGTGATACTCAATCACGCAAGATGGAGGGGGTGTTTTGGTTGTTGCTGTGGGGTGGGTTGTGTGGGTTTACGGGAGATAGAAGGAGAGTGGAGGAGAGGAGAGCACGGAGAGGGAGAGGGAGAGGGAGAGGGAGAGGGAGAGGGAGAGAGATATAAAGAGAGAGAGAGAGAGAGAGAGTGTGTGTGTGTGTTACCTGAGCGAGACGGATGGAGGTGGTGTGGTGGCACTGGACAGCGGTGGAGGTGCCGAATGGTGCTGGATGGGAATGAGCTGTGAGGGGACTTGGGGGAAAGAAAAATGAGAGAAGGGAGGGGGGTCGTGAGGTAGGGCTCCGGTGAGAGACTGAAAACACGGGATTGGGGGGCGTAAAATGGAGCGTTTTGGGTGTCAATTAAGGAGAGAGGAGATAGAGGGAGGAAATCATTTAGTTTATCATGTCAATGGGATGCTGATTGACGCGCACTGGGCCATCAAATTGAAGTGTAAAAAAAGAAATTTTAAGTGCGGAAAAAAAACACTCAATCTTGGGCGTCAGAAATTCAGGCTTGAAATTGAGAAACATAAAAATTAGTGTGGGGGCGGGAAAACAAAATTCAAGAGTGAATCTGGTTTGTCAGATCAATATTTTTTATTTAATCCAAACTATGAAAAGCTTAAGATAAAATAGTCCATTGGATGTATCCTTTTTTTTCTTTAGAATTAATCTGAGTTGCGAAAAGATTGAAATAAGTTTTGAGATTTAAACTCAGCTCTATTTATTATATAAATATTTTATATAGTTTTTGAAGAGACTTTCTTGAAAAATTAAATAAGACAAATTCTGAACAAGTGGGGTAATTTAGAAAAGAGAGCACAACAAAAACACAGAAAACTCACAGCATTATTTAAAACTACCAAGACCACAGCTAGTAGCAAGCCTACTCCACCCAGCTCCATATGTCTCGCCCTCAAACAATTTTCAGCGGCTATTCACAAAACAAAACAAAACAAATGGGCTTCTTTGGCCATTTTTTTTTCCATTTACATTATCTATCCAATGGTAAAAAAATCATAGCGAAAACAGAACCTTTTGTCGCTCTTAAGAAAACCCCAACTTTTATGTAGTTTCTCATGTTTTTAACAATGGGAGCCCCGTAATGACTCAAAAAGTGGATAATGTCATCAAATTACAAGAACTGTTTCCAAAGCTTTAGTGCATACATCAACATATAACCTGAATTCAACAAGGTTTCAATTTACAAATAATACTGTATGAAGCAATCAAACATAATGTAAGAATACATAATTAACAACAGATATGTAGATTATATAATTAGCTAGCCTGAACAGAAAACAGAACTTATCAAAAACCAGAGGAACAAATATATGTACCTCAGTTAAATTCTGGCACTCAGAAATTAACAAGCAAGGAAACGAACCATAAACACAAAATCCTAATTGTTTTCGGCTCTCACAGTATCCGACGGAGCAGGCAATGCGGCCCCATTCTGCGGCAGCTTCGACAAAACCCGCTGATCCTCCAAAACATCCATGCCTTCCGCCTTCCCAAACAACTGTTTCCTACAAACATCATGTAAATGCCCAAACAACTCCTTCTTCAAGGACTCAAAGGCCAAGTCCAACCTCTCCAACTGTTCCATCGCATTCTTGTTGTACATAAACAACCCATAATACAAATCAAAGCTATCACTCGCTGTATTCTCCACCAAATTCAACAGTGTCTCATACCCTTTTGTATTAATCGGAGTTGTATCCAATCTCAACTTCTCCAGAACTCTACCCATTGTATGAGTGATAAATTGTGACCCAGCCGCGTATTTATCATGCTCTGCACAGCTCATTTCCACCATTCTACACCCTTCTCTTTCAAAAATCTCAAGGAATCTTTCAATCCTTATAGCCCTTGACTCTTCATTCCCAACTCGAACTTTATCATACACAAATGGTAAACCCAACCAACTATCCTTTCCACTTTCGGGCCCGAACATTGGGTGGGTACACAAGATGTCAAAATCACCTGGCAAGATTTGAATGAATAAATTCTTAGGAAATTCTTTCACGGACAATACATCTACGAAGAGGGTACTACGTTTGAGTCTTTGTAGGGGTAACGATCGAAGGACATTTTCTGTGGAGATTATTGAGGTGCAGAGGAGCATGACTTCTGGGTGTTCTTCGCAGAGGTCGTGGGGGTTGGAGAAGAAGGAGACGCCGAGTTGTTGGGCAATTTGGGAATGGTTGGATCGGGAGTGAGCCAGGACGGTATGGCCTTGGCTGACTAGGGTTTTTGCAAGGAATTGGCCAAAATTGCCGAAGCCGACGATGGCGATTTTGAGCTTGGTGGATTGGGCAAATCGGTCGGAGATTTGGGTCTCGTAGTCGAAGGGTTGGGCAGCGTCGAGAGCGCGTATCTGAAGGCGGTGGCGCAAAGGAGTTCGGCGAGTCAGTGGGAGGTGAGGCGCTGGCGGTGGAGATATAGAGTGGCGGCGGCGGTGGTAGAGCTGGGAAAAGGAGGAGAAGCGAGTAATTGATGTGGAAGGCTGGAGAGAAAGCATGATGGCATACAGATAGGGAAGGAGGTAGGAGAGAGAAAAGAAGAACACTTTCTCACTCAAGAAGGAGGAGGCTAAACTGGCGGACTTGGTTGAGGTGAAGATCATAGGCTTTTATGCAAGTTCTCATCCATTGTCATACATATCTTCTTCTGTGTAAAAATTTATGTTAATTACTTAGATAGCCCTTAAATTATGTTATTTGTACCATTTAAGTCTATAAACTTATTTTTGTGTCAATTTAGTCCATCCAAAAATAAATTATGGTTACCCTCTAGTAGTGGCGGGAGGGTGGGGGTGGTGGTGGTGGTGGAGGAGGAGGAGGGGAGTGGTTGGGGGAGATATAATTATACAAAAATTACCGTAAATAAACTTAAAAATTAAATCCATGCTATATCCAAATGTGAGTAACATACATTCTCCCACTCCTATCATCCAAATCATGAGTAAATATTCTTTGCAATAGTGACATCATGTCCTCATTACCACGTGGTATAATTAATTAATAAAAATATAATTAAATAAATAAAATAGATCCCACTTTTTTACATGGAATAATTACCAAATAAATTATTAAAATATATAGTATCCACTTTTTCACTTATATTTTTATTAGACGGTAAGATCATATAACGAATGACGTTATAGCATTACGATGAATATTTTCTCCCAAGTCTAGTGATATCCCAAACAACACTATTTTGGTATAATACCACCACATCAAATTGTCATGTCACTCCTTATTTTGTAAGAACTAAGGTAAGATATCCAAGTCACGTTCTCATACCCGTCTAAGCCGTCTGACCTTTAAACCTACATTTGACAAAGAAAAAGATATTACCTATGTGCCGTATGATTGGGGAGTTAGTTTTCAAGTCTATATTGGCAACTTATAGGATAGAACATACCTAGCACGTTCACGACTTTAAGGGCAGCTAAAAGATTGGATTTTTTATACTTATGTTCACACGACAGAAGATGATCATTCTGAACTAACAATATCATTTTGTGAGTCAAGATTTCCAGGGCAATCACTAGGTAAAGAGAACATGTTAAATTATTATTTGTATCCAATTGATCCTTAAAACACTGTTGATGAATGGAAATGAAAATAAGTAGTCACAGACATGGCGAAAAATTTTCAATAAAAATAACCAAATAATAGGCTAAACGATAATTGGGGGAGAGGGGAGACATAAACAGACTCGAGATACGTAAAATCGCTGACAATGGACAAAAGATGCACAATAGACAATGGACTGTTCATTTACTCAGGCAAGAATAACCATGCTGTCCCAACTCTCATGATCATTATCATCATCGTCACCACCACAAACCCGAAAGGGAAAAATTCTCTCCGCATGACTAAGCCTTACAAATTTCCCGATTTTAGGAACCACCAAAAACACTAAATAGACTCCAAATAAAGTTAGAAGAGGAGACTAAGAAACGAGGTAAAAGAGTGACTCCCGGTAAGAGAAAGTCAGACGACACAAGTCAGAGGCCAACATCCCCTGCAGTGCAGTTCATTCTCCTCTAAAAAATCTTGAAGAGCAGGCCACCGTGGGCGGCGAAGAATGGAGCAAACACCAGTGATTCGACTGCCATTAGCTTGATGAGGATGTTCAATGATGGTCCCGATGTGTCCTTGAGAGGATCCCCAACAGTGTCACCGATCACAGCTGCCTTGTGTGCATCAGATCCTTTGGGACCAAGGGTCCTGGCATGCTCTGAGGCACCAGCCTATCATCCCAAAACCAATGATATAATTATGTTTGAAGCTCAAATGAAAGAAAAATATAAAGTAAATATTTTACCTCGATATACTTTTTGGCATTGTCCCAAGCACCACCAGTGTTCGATGCAGAGATGGCAATCTGCAAATATGGACAGGTTAAGAACAAAGAGTCGGAGCAAAGCTTTCCTCATGACATATAAGACAAGAGGGAGAATATTCACCAGAATGAAACACGGGATTCTAGATCCTAGACACAACAGCAAGATAAATGTTTACAATTAACCTTGTGAAGTTATTATTCATTAAGAATGGATTAAACCATTTGCATGTTATCTAGTACATCTGGGCTCCTGCGTTTAAACAAAATTCAAGTTCATCTACAAAACATAGACTCATTGAGAATCAATAATGTCATAAGGACCAACAGTTATGATCATAAGGGACCAACAGTTTGTAATAATTCAGACAACACACATAGTATTCATAGATCACACAACTGTGAGTATAACAAGCTGCTCTAGCTTTACCTGAACACCAGAGACTAGGGATCCAGCTAGGACGCCAGAAAGTGTTTCCACCCCAAAGAAGATACCCACAATAAGGGGTGTGAGCATGACAAGAGCACCAGGCGGAATCATCTCTTTGATGGATGCATCCGTGGAGATCTTGACACAGGTGGCATAGTCAGGCTTGGTAGTGCCTTCCATGATACCAGGGATAGTATTGAACTGCCTGCGCACTTCCTCAACCATCTTAAGAGCTGCTTTTCCTACACTCTTCATTGTCATGGCAGAGAACCAGTAAGGAAGCATTGCACCCACGATCAAACCAATGAAAACTTTCGGTGTCAATACATCTACAGTTGAAATTGATGCTCGACTCACAAATGCACCAAAAAGGGCCAGGGACACAAGAGCTGCAGATCCAATGGCAAAACCCTAGTAACAAAATCACAGGAATATTATTAGGGGTGATTATGTTAACCTTGACCATGAAACTTTCATTAGCCAAGAATTGGCATCATATCTGCCAATTGTGATCGAGCTCAGGTTAAAGATGTTATATACCTTCCCAATTGCGGCAGTGGTGTTTCCTGCAGCATCAAGGGCATCAGTTCTTTCTCGGATTCTGTGGCTCATGCCAGCCATCTCGGCAATGCCTCCCGCATTGTCACTAATGGGACCGTATGCATCAATAGCCAAACCAGTAGCTATGGTGCTCAGCATTCCTAGGGCAGCTACAGCTATACCATACATTGCAGCAAAACTAAAACTAACAAAAATGCTGATTGCAATGGCAAAAATAGGAATAATGACAGATTTGTATCCCAATGCAAGGCCAAATATAACATTCGTAGCAGCTCCAGTGCGGCAGGAATCAGCAACATCTTGCACAGGGCTGAAAGATAATGTAAAGCTAGCATTAAGACAACTTACAATGCAAAACAATGAGAAACATAAATGCTGCCAAAACCAGGTACCTGTAAGCATTGCTTGTATAGTACTCAGTCACAAATCCAATAATAAGCCCGGCCCATAAACCAACACAAACACATAAGAACAGTTGCCTGCAAACGTATTATTGTCAGAACCATGAGGAAGCTTTTTGAATGTGCATGTGAACAAACTAGTTCAATTGTGTTCTACAGAATATTCAAATATAAGAAGTCTCCTTAGAAAAATAAGGACCAAAAATAATTGTTTGATTTCTAGCACAAGTATTGAAATTCACTTAAAAGTGTTTCAGATACATTGCTATGAGGCATTACATATAGACTGTTTCTAAAAATTCAATAGTATTCCACTACTCACTTTTTTTTTTCTGAGCCATTAGAAAAAATAATAACAATAATAAAAGAAAGAAGAAAAAAAATAAAAAAATAGTATTCCAGTTATAGCGACCTACTCAGTTTTATTGTGGAAGATATCTACCCTACGTTGCGGGCATGCCTTCAAATGCTAATCCAAAGAATTAAATAACCAGCAAAAATTAGTTGTTTGACTTGCACACGAATTCCATTTCACGTAAAGTAGTTTCAGATACATTGATATGAGGCATTACATATGGATCATTTTTAGAAATTCAAGAGTAGTCCAGTTATTGAGATGTTTTCATTTTCATTGTGCATGATATATATTCTATGTTGATGTTGTGCCTTCAAAATGCTACTGAAGAGAAGATAATGCCAAGGCAATGATCGAGCTTACCAGTTTTTAACTTCTTTCTGCACTCCAAAATCATATATGGTGAAGGAAGATGGAAGGGCTATCCAACTAACAAATGCAATTCCAATGGTCATTAGTACAGTGGATATAATGAGTTGCTTCTTCAATGCTGGCTCAATTTCCTTTACAGCCCTGACTTCAAAGAAATCAGTTGCAAATAAAGTGGTTACCAAACAAACAAGGATGCCTATGGAACTGATGAGAAGAGGATATAACATTCCAGTTAAATCCTGGCCAATCCCAAAGGAAGAGATTGAAGCAACAACAAGGGCAGCACAGGATGACTCGGCATATGAGCCAAATAGATCAGATCCCATACCAGCGATATCCCCAACATTATCACCAACATTATCAGCAATCACCTGTACAAAAATTTACAAATTTACGTACTCCAGAAGCGAACCGTTAGAAACTTCAAATTTTCTAAAAGAACATTGTATCCTACCGCAGGATTTCTTGGATCATCCTCTGGGATGTTTCTCTCCAACTTTCCCACAAGATCAGCGCCAACATCAGCAGCTTTTGTATAGATACCTCCACCGACTCTGCCAAAGAGGGCCATGGAAGATCCACCAAGACCATAACCAGTTATAGACTCGAACAGACCTTCCCAGTCATCACCATAGTACAGCTTGAAGAGGTTGATTGCAATGTACAACACCAGAAGACCATTTGCGGCAAGAAGAAAACCCATGACTGCCCCAGATCGAAATGCAGTGATAAAGGCCTTTCCAACCCCCTTTCTTGCCTCCAAGGTGGTTCTGGCATTTGCATAAGTAGCAATTTTCATTCCAAGAAATCCGGAAATCACTGAAGTGACAGCACCGAGCACGAAGGCTACAGTGCTAAAGGCAGCAGTTGCAAGAGCAGGTTTGCACAATTTTGAGCTATCATATGTACAAGCCTGGCCCTTGGTGCTAAATCCATCCACAGAACCGAGGAAAACGAAGATCAGAATGGCAAAAGCAACCATGAAAACACCAACATACTTATATTCCGTGAAAAGGAACGAAGTTGCTCCTGTGGAATCAATGGATCTCAAAATTAGAATACGCCAAAGCTTCCCTCACATGTTGGAGAATGTATTTCTGAACTTTATACGGATTGTTACGATGAATTTGGGGGACAAAAGCCCAAAAACAGGTCAAAGTCATAGTTTTGGTGAGGATCACAATTATCCCTTATGACCTTTAAAACTAAAATCCAACAGAAATGGAAAGGCGTAAAAACAGTCAACATTATGAAGCATTCAGTATTTACAGGTTAGCAAAAAAAGTAAAAAACTAAGATTCCATCTGCATACCAGAACCACAACATTAAATCAATTGCACCATCCAACGTCATTGAACTTATAAAAAGGCAATAGCCTGAATTATTTTTGTATTGAGCTGAGATCTATCCAAAAACTCAATTGACACTTGCGATTGCTACAAATTTAATTTTGAGATGAAGCCATGTAGGAAGTAAAAAAGGAAGAGAAAAAAAATGAACAGCATGGAAGTGTCTAATTTTCCACAAAATTTTACATGATCAAGTTGCATTTTTTATAGCACTCTAAATCAATTCACCAGTGGTCTAGAATTCTCTCCATTTACTGCTGGAGGTATCAACATCTATATCATTCATAAAGTTTCACGAGATTCCATCATTTTCAAATTTTTTAAGGTTTTCATTTTCTATAAATTATGAGTCTTTACATTAAACACCGGTAATATAGCTGCGGAGAAGGCATAAGTGCACTTATGTTAACATTCCCGGATCAAATCTATGATAAAAGGCAACCAGCATGGAGTCGTACAATCTAGTATAACATCATAGGTAATCGCAGTACAATAACCATAATAATTACCAAAACAACAAATACAGCATAATAGCACAGTAATAAGCCAATGTCAACTCGATTTCTGAGATCTACCATAATTACAATGACATCACCAATGACACTCATGCTTTTACGTAATGGCAAGTGCCAATGCTAAACCACCAAAATACATACAAAAACAAGAAAAATGACAGCGACAAACAAAGGTAGCTGACCAACGCAAACAAAAAAAAGATAACAACAACCATCAGTAAATATTTTGTTTAAATGTGGAAGGCCCAACAGGTTGGTCATTGACTCATTGGTGATTAATTGCAGCATACTTTAACAACTTCCAAGATTGAAACATGGTAAATCACGTTAGTAATATCAAATTACAATAATTAGTGAAGTTCAAATACTCGAGCCTTAGTCTACATACAGCTTTCAAAAACGAACTATTATATAATTTACAGCCAACAACCAAAAACAAAATAAGCTACTGTATCTTAATGAAATCCCCATAGTCTACCCAAACTACATAAGGTAACAATAAAAAATCAGAGCTTAAATCCCCATAAGTCTAATTCCATAATGGGTGCCGTTGATGAGGGCTCAATTTTCATAGCTGACAATGAAACTTCAGAAAAAATCAACGCTGACATAAGCTATAAGGAAACAAATAACTCAATAAAAATAAGCATTAATCCGAAATTAAATTTTCTGATTTTTCCAGCTTGAACCTGGATTTTATAATCAAAGGATAAAACTCAAGCTTAAAATCAAGCACTAAATATTTCACAAAAAAATAATAGGGAAAAAATTCACAAAATAAAAGAAAAATGTACAGACAAACAAGGGATACGAATTTGTATACATGAAGCCCAACCGTCACAAAACACTATACATGTAAGCATAAAATACGTATACACATGCATACATATCCATACTCGCGATACTCATGTAAGTACCTATATGCACATAAATATGAAAAAATTTCCCTAAATTTACTACAATAGCGAATTCAAACTAAAAGGACCGAAATTTAACACCAGATCCATTAATTTGTTAGGATCTGAGCTAAAAATTGCATCTTGAGAACTCATCGAAATATAAAAAAAAAATTACCTTCAGAGATGGCGTTCTGAATTTCGGCGCATTTCTGAACGACGTTGTGGTCGTTAATGCCTTCTTCTTCTTCGATTAACGCCTCGGTGAAGCCGTTCTTACCATCACCGGAGGGCTTTTCCGAGGAGAGCGAGACGCGGGAGACGATGACCCACTGGAAGAGAGAGAAAATAATTCCGACAACGGCGCAGACTGGAATCAGAATCTCAGTTGCGAGATCTGGCAGAATGGCCGTACCCATGGTGGCGTTATGGCGTAGTAGCAGTAGTTTCCGTACAAACCTCGCCGGAAAATAAAGGAAGACGATTCTAAAAAACGATAAATTAGCCGCCTTGTGCGCTGGTTCTGTGGCTCTCACTTTCCTTGGTTTGAATGGTTGTTTCGAGCTCACGAACCTATAAATAAATATACAGAGAGGAGGAGAGAGAAAGAGAGTGAGTGAAAATTGTGGGTTAAAAATAGAAAATTCAAAATTTCTATAAAAGAAAATAATATATGCTATTACCAAGGAAAAAATTGTTAATATATGGTATTACCAAGGAAAAAATTGTTGGTTCCAATGTATTCTGTTTAATGGAAATGGGAGTAAGAGATTTTTTTTTTTTTGGAAATAACAAAAACAGCTGGTATTTTTTGCCCAAAAATAAAATTAAAAAAAAAAAAACAATTCAACGTTTCCATTTGGATAATATTAGAGGGATAAAAAAGACAAGAATTAATTAAAAAAAAGACAAAAATTAAGTAGCAATTAATGTAGAGATAATATAAAGGCATTTTTAGCCAAGTTTTATTCATTTAAAATTTAAATTTTATTTATTATAACAACGACACATTATTTAATTAGAAAGGGAACAACTCAGTTCTTATTTCATTATTATTAGTTTATAAGGTTATAATATTTTTATTATTTTTATTCATTTTTTTTTTTTTTATCATTCTCCGGCAATTTTTTAATTTTGAACAAAATTCTTCCCACCAACTTGAACTTGAAAGTTTAAGAAAGGAAAATGGGAACACCCAACCCAACCCAACAATTGAATTTAAGCGTTAATAAATGAGTCATTAATTATGCTATTAATTTAATCATTAGATTAGATGGGCATCCACGTCAGTTACGAGATAATCTCAACTCCTAATAATGGTACGAAGATAAAGCCCAAAGTGGGCAAACTTGAAGTTTAGATATATTATACTTGGACCTTCTAAGTTATGTCAAATTGTACTATGATCCTGATATTTTATATAATGGCATGGGAATGCCAAGCAAAGATTTTTAGTAATGAATTAATATTTAACCTTGATCAAATCATTGAAATTTTTGCCAAAACTTGGTGAATATGTGTGTGTGTGTGTGTGCGTGTGCGTGTGAGAGAGGGGAACTACAACACCAATCCCTAATTGGAAACCTAACCCTTACCCAAGTTTGTCCTTTGGATTGGCCTAGCTCAATCTAATGTATAACTTTTAGTGGTGTAAATTTTTTTTATTGATGAAGGGAAATGAACTTGGTCGAACTATAAATTCAAATATCTTAAATTCAATTCTTATTAATGACTCTATAGTTTAGCTGACACTTTTAATTAATGATTGATTTAAGGTAACATAGATTTACTCTACTATAATCAGCCCAATGTAATCGTGCCTAAGAGATATTCCTTGTCACCAAAGAGAGAAAAAAAAAAGAGAGAGAGAAAAAGGGGGTTTCGTTTGTTAAAATTTCTAGAAATAAGAGATTGTTGTGTATTTTTTACTAATATGAAGAGACCATCGTGTTATTTTGTAAAAAATAAGGGATGTTTTGTGTGTTTTGGTTTGCCTTAAGCGAAGCTTCCATTTACTTTGTCCTCCGGTGTAGACGGCTGGTGAGGTGGCATATTCGGATAACTCTTAAAGAGCGTATTTGAGACGCACATTTGGTGCCCGAATCAACCTTCGCTTTTACTTGGTTTTTGTCCTTTTTCTCACTTTATCTTTTTATAATTACTTTATTGTAACCCCAATGCAAAATGGCAGGATATCAGTCGAAGAAAATTCAGAATTCTAAATTCATTTCTCAATTTTTCTGATCCATTTTAAGTTTTAAAATTCCATATCTACTTTAGTCGGAGATTTCGGTTCGAAGATTATAAAATAGGGTGCAAGTTTATTTATCTCGATCAATTTAGGTTAAAAAATAGATGATCAAAAGATCTAGACATTAGACCTCTTCTTTATTGTGAAGAGAGAAAGGTTCTTTCGTATCAAGAGTATTGGGAGGTCAAAGAAGAGGGATTGGATCGAGAGGGTGATTACGTCCATTCAGAATTTTTGTTATAATCCATAGATAAAAAAAAAATGTGGTTGAAGCAATTTTTATTGGGAAACTTGAAAATAAAAAACATTGCTTTTGATTGAAATTTGGTTTGTTGCATCTGTTGGAAAAACATGCCTCTAGTGTGAAGAAAAGTTGCCATCTTTGTAGTACCATCCTTTTATTGTGATTTTCTTTCTCCCCAAGTACTACAAAGTAGAAAAACACATGCACAACATTTGTGAGTAATCACGAATGTTATGCACATTAATCTTCATCGCAAATGTAAAAACTAACTAGTTAATGATATATAAGAATCGTAATAGTGATCAATCATTGAATATGTACATGTCAGTTTAGTTCTAATGATGATAACTATTTGATACACGCCATTGTATTAACCCAAGCATTAAATATTTGATACTTTTGACATCACATACCCTTTTATAAACTTAGTTTATAACTTCTTGTAAGTTATACCAACAAGTTAAATTGAAGCCAACAATCTGTATCTATAAATAAAAAAAGGGATTTATTCCTTTATACACTGATTTATTTTATTACAAAATCAAGTATATGGGAATCCAATGCAATTCACACAAGAGAACCAATAGGTGGAGACCATTTGTATACATTGGCCTGATATGACATTGTAAGGTATCAAGCAACGCTAAAAGGATAGTAATCAGCATCTTCACTTTTGACCACAAAAATTTTGCATGCAAAATCCTTTTCTTTTTTTCTAGTTGAAAAACTATCCCAACAGAATTTTGTCGTCTCGTGGTTACAACGTAAATTGAGGACGTACGTAGATGATCACTCACAAATTATTAATATCGGAGTTGGAACCACGAAATAGTAACCGTTAGAGATATTTTTCATCTAGGTTTTATGATGGGTGATGGAGTTCTTGCGCAACGTGGAAACATCATAAATTCTATTAGAATTATCGATTTCTTGTTTGGATCGAGTTTATACTCTGAGTTATATGGATATTGAGCAGATAATTTAAATGGCTTGAGAGGCTCAGGGCATTTGGTCTTTCTATTCAAGGGTTTGCAAGCCTCCAAAGGAGATAATAGTCTAATTTTGTTCAATTTAATATACTCTAATTTATATTTATTGTTTATTTTGTTTGTTTTTATAATATTTTTTGTAGTCTAGCTTGATTGTGGTTTTGCTGTCATGGTCTTGATGTAGAAGAAGAGACAACAAATGGGGATGGGTAAGCCTAGGGTTGGGACTGTGCAATCATGGCTGGTTAGTGGTCGCTGTGGGACCTTAGCCCATGTTCTCAGAGCTCAACCCCATAACTGTTTCCAGATCTCACCTTTTGTTTGAGAGCAAACATTTTGACAGTACCAATTAATGCTTTGTGAAATATTGCACAATATTGGTTTAAGCTAGATAATTTTCTTTTTCTTATTTTTATGGTTATCTAGATCAGCTTACGCACATTCCGACAATTCTTGTCCCCGGTCCGGTCAAAAGCAGATCACCCATACCGAGACTAGAGAATTCACAAGGGATAAATCTTTCATTCTCTGGGCCTAAAGGGTTGTAAAGATTCGAATTCAGGATGTTTAAGTTTAGAGCAATGCTGCTACATAAATTTAAAAAATAAACTTAAAAATTAGACTTGTATAGAACATTTTTACATTTTTTGTCCTTCGATCATTATCACTTCATGATTTTTTTTTTTTTAAGGGATGTCTTATGTAGTAGAGATGCATCTTGATCTATTATGACACTATACCTTCCTATACCATATAATGCGGAGCGAGTATAATTCATTAGATTAATTCGAGATTTTTCCTCTAATCTTATTCCAAATAGTAAATTGACTGGAATGGTGTCAAATAAGAATAATTCAATTTTGATACAACAAACATGTTTAATTAATATTGCATGAAAAAAAAAACATTAATTTTTTTTTTAATTTCTTCATTTAGTATTTTATGTTTTATTATAGAACCAAATAAATTTTTAAGGAACAAATGTGTGTGAATTTAGTTAATAGAAGAGGGTCATAGTCTTAAACCTGGGGTTTATCGTTCACGGATTACACATAATGATCAAGACTTTAATAGACTAAAATAACGCTACTTAAATATGATACCACCTAAGCAATGATGTAACTCAAATTATCACAATCTGAACATGAGAAGTTTTGAGTCTGCTGTTGACCTTACACCAGATCTAGCAAGATGTTTGGTGTATTGTCATTTGTCAGTTGCCATTATAAACAATTGGTTTGCATGGAATGTGAGGTAGCAAATTGCCCCCCAGATTTAGAATTTGCCAGCAACATTGAACTGTTTTAGCAGACACACAAATCAACGTAAACTTCTCCTGATTGTAACAGCCCATTGCCCACAATGACAGCAACATAATAAGGTTGGCAGTTTAGCCAAAATTAATAGCTATTATCTAATTTTTGAATACATATAATTACCCATATGTCTCGCTTTTATACGATCATGAAATTTAAAGTCGATTCCAAGGATAGCTCAAATAGTAACAGGGATTAACCGTAAATTCAGATGTCCTAAGTTTAAATCTTGACAACCCTTTAAGATTAGGATCAAGCCGTGAGAAATTTATCACTTATGAATACTCTGATCTCAGCTTGAATATTCTGTCTTTGATAAGATCGGGAAGAAGATTAATCAAAATACGTGTATGTTAGCCCGAACACCGTTGAACCAAAAAAAAAAAACTTGATCAGTCAATATGTATGAACTTACGTCTCTGACTTTGTTGAACCACTAAATTAATCACTCTTAACAATAGCAGAAGAAACATTCTTTTTGGGAGTGGGGTCGGCGGTTAATTTCTTACACCTGTGAGGGTAACTTAGAAAATATTTTAATGAAGTTTATGAGTTGTTGTTTGAAATTATAGGAGAGCAATCGCCCTCTACACCAGCTAGAACCACGTTGGTAATGACCGTTAACCAGATCTGACAAATTTTAGGTTTATTTTTTATAAGGAATCAATGGGTGACAGGTTATAACCATAATTGATTAGTTTTAGGATTGTCCAAAGAACATACTTTTAT